CTGATACAGGAACATAAAGGTCAGAAGCAGCAGACACAGCAAGAACAGCGGCCCTGCCACCACAGCCACTAGTTCCACCAGCCCCCACGTCCCATCTGGGCCGTAGCCTCCCCCGGGTCCTGCCTGAGTGGTGACTGAAAGACACAAAAGTCGAGAATGAAATGCAATATCTGGCACTCAGTACATATTACCATTCTAGAATGTTACCTTACAGTGAGTGTTAGAATGTTGAATTACAATGAAATGAACATTTAATGTTTAATTCATTGAACATTCTAGAATTGTCATTTTATATTCTATAATTTGTATTCAACATTCTAGAATTTAAATTCAACATTCTAGAATTTGTATCCAACATTCTATAATTCATATTCAACATTTTAGAATTTGTGTCCAACATTCTAGAATTTTAATTCAACATTCTAGAACTGTCATTTGATTAGTCTGCTTATTCCTTTTGTTGACCTTTCTCATATTTTGAAGCATTCCTAACTTTGTTCAGACTGTACTAGTCTAGTACCATTATTATTCAATAATTATCCAACGTGAAATACGTGAATCACTTACTGTGGAAGTGAACAAGGTATTTTAAAAATATTAGTCCCATTATTTATACTGTACCAGTCTATGAAGTGCTGCTTTTTAGTTAAAAGCTTTATATGAACTTGTGTTTTTGTGCATGCTTCGGATGAGTACTGTCGACAATTTCCTGTCACAATGTTTCCATAGTCACATTCTTCTCTCTATACACACTGATTAATATTTTTGGACACTGTACAAAACCAGAGGAAACCTGTATCTTCTCAGGAACCATGAGTCACAGACTGTGTAGAAAACAGGAAACATGTTCTTGCCTGTGCTTGACTCACACTGTATGTATGAGCGGACGTTAGATGTGTGGAACTCAAGGTGAAAACACACAAGAGGGAGATAATGATTTCAGCTCAGTTAGTCTCTCTGAACAAATCCTGATTATCATGAAACTTGGTAGAAGAGTGTAACATGGACCAAGGAAGAACCTAATCCATTTGGAAAATAATCCAAATTAGAAGGCGGAATATGTTTAACCTCATTTACATGAAAGATAAGGCCTTCGTGCTGCATTCATGTGGTGTCGGAATAAAAGGAAAAATTGTTTCCGAACGGTTGAACATTCATGTGAAAGCTCTTCAAGTCGTAATAACAACTCCAAAACATCTGTCGGCTGGCAGTTTGAACACTAAACACTAAAATACAATCTTCTTTTTACCATGTTAGCATGAAGATTTCAAGCTCATGAACACTCTCAAGTGCAAGAAGTGTTTCCAGTCGTACTGTATATACAACATGATACACAGTTCTCACCTGTGGGTACTTTGAGGTCAATGCTGTTGCAGTAGTCTGTGTAGCAGCAGTGGATGTTGAGCAAGCCCTCTGCACTGAGACAGTAGAACGGTTGTCCAGGGGGCACAAGGTTGTCCCGTGTTATGCAGATACGGATGCTCTGCTCTTGGCCTTCGATGAAGGAAGTGGAGGCCATGCAGGCCCCATCAGTCTCACACTGGAAGCCATTCCTCTCACACTGCGGAGTGGTGCAGTTACACCGCAGAGCTGCAGGGACGAAAGTGGCAGAAGAATCAACACAGTGTGCAAATTAGAAATGCATTTTCATATATTTGAGAAGTTGAAAACTGAATTTTCTGTAACCTCAGCATAACAAATGACTTTAACAATTAAATGATTAACATAGTTGCAGATTGTTTCTCTCAATCGATTATTAGATTAGGCGACTAATAATTCTGGCTCTAAAACAGTCAAATGTATGCACAAATATCTTTTTTAATTTTTTGAGCCGAATCAATATATGACAATAACCAGTAAAACTAGAAATAGTTAGCAGGGAGTGATGTATTGCAAATATGAATTAGAGAGGTGAGGACTGAGAGACGGAGGATTGTGGGGAGGTCAGGAAGTGTTAGAGGTGGGTGTGTTAGGCTGGCATGGGCTTTGGAAAGGTGGGTGGGTGGGTGGGGAGTTTATGATGACATGCACAAGTAGAGATGAAATGACCAGATGTGACTGTCATTTGACAAACAAGACACTGATCCTTCTTAATATATGATATTAAGTAATAATATTAAGACACAGACATTATGTGACTTTCAGAATTTCAGCATATAAACTGAATGTTTGCTAGAAAACCCACACATATACACCTGAAATGAAGTGTCATCTACGTGAAACAGGAGAAAGTAGAGTTAATGTGTTACAACATCTTCTGTGGTGTTGACTCATATAATGCCAACACCTACTTGGCAGATGCTGTTGGTCAAAACAACCAAAGAAGATAATGGAGATAAACGCTGACTAAACATTAAATGAGAGTGACATTTCAGACTTTAGATGGCTATAAATGTCATAACTCTAATCCACATTGGGATGATTGTAAAAAACACCTTATCGAAGGAATCCATCCAAGATACTGGCAGGTGCCGTTAAATTGTGATTTAAAAAATGCATTGGTAAACAAGTTGTGCGTTACTATAATAAAAGTTGATCTTAATATAGACGGTTTTACTTTTAGGAAAACTGGATGCCTGCCCCCTTCAGATATTATCTGATTTGTACTTTCATTAACATTTCAGGCTCTGTAATCAGCAGGCGTTTTAATACTTCACAAGCTCTCACATTCCATGAGCTATATTTGTTGTATGAAAAGTGCTCTATAAATTCATAAATAAGATCAAATATACTTTATTGATACACATTTGGCACACTTTTTCATAACAGCAGCATTTAGATAATACATTGCACATGAATACATAATAAAAATAAAATACATATACACATATCAGCAGAAGAAAATAAAGTACAAGTATAAAGTATATTTAATACACAATATACAAGGTAGTGTACATTATGATAGGACTACCTATCAAACTATTACTATTGTTATTAGTATTAACAGCTATGCTTTATAATAATAATAATAATAATAATATTATAAACAATAAAAGCACAACATCATTTCCAGAATAAACCCTGTAACGTTAGAGATTTGAAAAGTGTAAATATTGTATGTATGACGTGCCATCATTAGCAGCATGAGAGAGATCATTAAGATTATTTAAGCATTATGATATTATTAATGTGATGCAGAGAGGCAGTTAAACGCTCACTACATGGAAGGTATATAATGTTGTTCACAGCGGGTAAAGAACTACAGAGAGCAAAGCTAACCCAGCTTACAGCCGCTGAGCCACAGACTTTAACTGCTGCTGTTTCAGACTAACCTAACAAGCTCGACAGCGACAGCAAGACGGTGAGATATCGTGTAATAGTCACATACACATGAAAGCTGTTTAATGAATAACACCCAAGTTAATTTAAATGAATGTTGACCGGTGTCAGTTGAATCTGTCGTCCGGCTAGGCTAGCTGACCTAGCTAACGTTAGCTAACAGCTAACTGCACAGCCGTTCGCCTCGATCATAACAGCAGCAGAAGCAGCAGTTTAGGAAGACAACAAACAATAAATCACTCACCCTCGCAGCTTCTGTACAAGACGGCCTGAACAACCACGACGGCTAAAGCAATCCGTAGGTTGGCCATGATCAATATATTCCCGGTTCATGGCATTAAGACATTAAGTTAGCTAGCGTTATGTGGCGAGACTTGATGATGACAGCTAACCAGGCTGCCAGTGCACAGTTTACTAACATGCTCCACCAGCAGGCAGCAGCACAGACACACTGGGGTTACAGAGGTGGGCAATCCTATCTATCTATCTATCTGTCTGTCTGTCTGTCTGTCTGTCTGTCTGTAGTGTAGTGTAATTTAACTAAGTAGATTTACTCAAGTACTGTAGGCCTACTAAAGTACAATTTTGGAGACTTGCACTATACCTTTTGCTACTTTGTACTTCTACTCAACTATGAAGTAGGCTACTCATTAATAGATGAACAATTGTGATACATAATTACCTACTTACTCACTTTATCACCTAGTTACTTCTTTACTTACTTACTTCTTTACTTACTTACTGACATATACTTTACTATTAATTAAGTCCATCCAGCCATCCACTCATTCATAAATGTAGCTCTTATTATTAAGCAGTTGCCTCATGATAGATACAGATAAGAGGAAACTAACTCCTTGTGCAGTTGATCACTGCCAGAAAGACATTTCACATTACACATAGTCATTTGAACCAAAGAGAACATATTGAGGTAAGCATTAAACATCAAGGAATCAATGTTTTCTTTATTTCTCACAGAGTTAATAAACACAGGAGATTTCATATGAATATGGCATTTGCAATGTATGAAAAGTGGCAATAACACATTAAACAAAACCACCATTTTGATAAATATTTGCTACAATATTGTACAGTATTTACAATTTATTTTAGTCTAGCTATTTACAAAATATACAATACATAAAACAATTGTGCTTAAAGCACACATGAGCTATTGCACATTTCTGTATTTACATCTTACATAGGTCTGGATATGCAGGTGTACAGTATGTGACCTTCTGCCTGTATTTTATGTGAATGATGAGGTAGACATCGTAAATGCGCAAATAAAGTAAATATTGCATTGCATTGTAAACATTAAAAAAACATCCTTTCAGTCCTTTTGGATTTTCTACATTTTCAATAGCTTATACTCATGGATCACCTTTTCTATCCTTACTAAACAAATATGTAATATTTGTCTCAACCCTTAAACATTAGAGTCTAAAAGCTTCTAACCCCTCCCAAAGAGACTCAGCTGTGCTTGTTTGAGGTCATTCAGTCATAGGAAGAGAACGTCTCTCTTTGTTTCCCCTTTGGTTTATAGGTTATATATTTTGTAGTCGTTTCCAACACATTTGGTTTGAAAATCTAATTCCCTGGGTTAACACTAAATATTTAAATAATGTGGGCTCGTTGAGTCCTTTCAGCAGTGGCCTGGGTTTGAATCCTACCTGTGGCCCTTTGCTGCATGCCGTCCCCTCTCTCTCTCCTGTGTATCTTCAGCTATACTAAAAAAGGCAAAAGCCCTTGAAAATTGAAATATTGTTCTAAAAAGGGAACAGCTCTTTTTTGTAACTCTTATTTTGTGCCATTCTTGTCGTCTTTCTCTTTATTTTTCTGTTTCTCTGCCTTTTCTTTTTCAGCTTTCTTCTTCTCCTTCTTTTTCTCATCCTTGATCTCCTTGTATCTCCACTTGGGAAGTTCCAGGAAACCTTTTTCTTTCTTCTTTTTCTTCTTTTCTTTCTTTGGTGTTGCATTTGAAGGCCTGACGATGTCGATCTTTGGGACGCATCCAGACGGGAACACGCTGTTTTTTCTTGCCATACTGCGGGGAATAAATGTTGTAGTGACTTTTGTTGCGAACACGCTGCCCCGCCGGTCGCCCTCAGCACAGCACGTCATTAAGGAGGACTCAGCAGATTGGATTGTGGGATTGATGTGTGATACTGAGCCGTTGCTGTGGCACACTGATCTCTCTTCTAATTCCTTATCTGGGTGTTTCTTCACCAGCTCTGGCACAGCTAGGCGTCTCTTCCCCAGCTCAGGAGGGCTTGTAGGGCAGAGTGGACGGCATCCAGTGGAAATGAGTGGACTGTGAACACAGGTGGTCATGAGCACCATGTTGTCCAAGGCCCCGTTGTCCTCGGGGTCACGAGGTATTCTGAGTCCGAATGGGTTTTTGATCCGCTTGGTGATTTTCTCCCTGGTACTTTTTCCCATTTTGGCCTTGGCTACCCTCTCGTTGAGCTCAGGCCACTCAGGGATATAAGTCTCACAGAACTGCACAGCTTTTGGTCGCATAGTAAGGCGCCGGAGACGCTGCAGGGTCTCAGAGCGCCCTGTTTTCAGTGCCCAGTCCTGAGAGCTTTTTCCTCTTGTGGAGTCTACTGCATCTATGTCAGCACCTGCAATATAGAAGGTGGACTTAATGAATTACAAAGTCAAGGGTTCATTTAATTCTGAAAAGAAAAAATCTATTCATTTTTAGTGCTATTCTGAACTGCAAATACCACCTTCTTTATGGCGGACATTTTGGCTTGTCAAAGCAGGTGCTATTAATTAATGATAGCTCTATTTCAGATCATACCAGTAAGCTAGAATGCACAAACCCAGTACCCTAACATGGAAACACTTAATTGAATGCAGCCATTTAAAATGATTTAAAAGGCTTATTAACATAACCATACTGTATAGGCCTTCTTTACAGAAAACATTTGACTTGTTACAGTGGGAAAAGGACATGTGGTACAGATAACATTAACTAGGGACCAACTCAATCTGTCACCATTTTTAATTACCGGGCAAAGTCCTGGCAGGACCTTGAAACTAAAGGTCATACATGGAATTCAGTTTTTATTAAGGTTATGATTGACAGCTTTGCTCTACCCACTCTAACATGTTGAATGAATGACATTTTTGAAGTTCTCTTTTACATTAAACATACTAGAAGATTCATTATTTAATCATGCAAATAAACAGTAGATTAATCAATAAAGTAAACATTCATAACTTGCAGTCCTACTGGAATGTTAACAGTAAATTATGAATGGCAGAGATTTTAGGAGACATGTGCAGTCTACAAATAGCTCTGCATGGGGTTAATCTACAACCAGCCTGAAGACTTGTAAATCAGTGGTTACTGGAGGATATGTTAAGATGTGATAATGTCCTCAGAAGGATCCTTTAAGCCGCTCAGTGTCACTGCCACACTCACTCGCTGAAAATTATCTGGCTCCAAATACACAAATGGATAAACAGATAAACCGTGCGCTCAGCTATTCTCACCTGCAGAGCTATAACTGTTATTTAAGGTTGTAAGGGCCCTGGTTAATCAGCTAATGTCAGGGTATTAAAAAGGAGATCCAATAACATCATATATATATATATATATATATATATATATATATATATATATATATATATATATATATATATATATATATATATATATAGCACCTCTTTGGAAAGTGCAACCTTGTCAAAAGTCAAACATTGTTTTTATTGATTGACGAAGATCAGAGAAAAATAGTGTTTAAAAAAGTTGTGCCTTAAGTGTCTAAATATTATTTTTTAAATGTCCAGAAGTGTCTGAGTTGCATCATTTATAAATCTATGAATATGCAATATAAAATCACCTCTTAATGTCTAATTAAAATAAAAGTATTGGTATGATGCCAGCAATTCCTATATTTTCCTGTAAGTTTGAAGACATAATGAAAAACATCTATCAAGTTTCTCAAGGCTCTTATGAAAATAAATAGGATTTTATCCAAAACACTTACCAGCCATGACGAGGGCAGCCACTACCTCAGTGCGGCCGGTCATAGCCGCTTTGATGAGTGCTGTGAAACCTCGACAATCCCTTACTTCAGTGTCTATGCCAGAATAGTAGTTTAGAAGAAACATGACGGTGTTGATATGACCTGCAGGGAAAAACACAGAATTCAGAGATCTGTTCAGCAGTGAGTCAGAAAATGTATGACTTTTGAAATAATGCTGGCTGGATCAAATTCAGTATTTGGTCCAGTTTGTGGATTTAGACACATCCATTTGCAGTGAGTGCATTCATTACAAAATAATCTAGTTTTTAGCTATAAAAGTTGCAGTGAATATTACATTTTAAAACAAATAACAGCACAAAGTCAAACTTAATCGTAAGGAAAGAATAATTGCAAAACAAAAACCTTTTGGGTTTGCTAAATATTGGAGTTAATTTGATTTCTTTTAATATTGCCAATTCATCATTTTTTTGGAGATGTCATTTTTCAAAAGTAGTCATATACATAACACATCTGTATGATTAAAAGTTTAAAATGGATGTAAGTTTATTATATAAGCTGCCACTAAATCCTACACACTGGACCTAAGGCTTTTAATTGTATTTTTTAAGTCTTAAAATTCACATGATGTTGTATATGGGATGTCAAGTTACACCTTAATTATGTTGTACTTTCCATGTTTATCCCTCTGAACTTAAACTTTGTTTTGTTAATGTGTGTGTAGGGAGGACCTACCTGCTTGGGATGCGATCATCAGAGCAGTGTTGCCTTCGTTGTCCTGCTGATTTACATCTATATAGGGACAGGCGTAGAGTCCATACACAATATCAACGAAACCTTTGCAGCAAGCCAACATCAAGCCATTCTGTTGGGGATTGACAACGATAATGATAAATGACAGTGTTTGTGTTCAAGACAATGTGAGCTACATTTACAGATTCTGAATATACACAATGAGTGAGACTCTCACCCAGCCATTGATGTCCAGCTCTGAGGCATCCTCTTTTGTGACCCCTCTCTCCAGAATTCTTCTCAGAGCTAAGGGTTCGTTGCGGGCGCATGCTCGATATAGTGTCGGCTCCCCGCGGCTGTCCGTCCTCTGCAGTGTGTAATCTGGGAGCACCGAGTCGTCAGAGAGGATGCTGTCTGAGTCTGACTCACTCCCCAACAGAGACTCATCGTCCTCATCTGGGTCAGAGCCCAGATGGGGGTCGTGCGCTGCAGTGGCCATCTTCCAAGAGCAGGAGAGGTGAGACTAGAGTGTTTCCTTTGACTACATCTACAAGAAAGTAGAAATCAGAAATGAGTCATGCACAAAGTACTTGAAATTGTCTTTAGCAGCTCAAGTAAAATCAGTTGCTAGAGATAGGAAACTCAAATGATTTTCACCCTGAAGATTACACATAATAACTAGTTTAAATCCTCTCCTTATTGTAGACGTGAAGTAATTGGCGAAACACAACATGATGTTTCTGAAAGGATCCAGATCTGTCAAAACTCTGCTTATTATATTGAAGAAGTGAAAGCATGAGTCTGTCAGTCAGGGATTAGGAGTGTGTTATGTGTGTATCACGGAGTGGGTGTGGTTGTATGAGCTCAGTGTGCCTCAGTGTTGAGTAACGGGATCAGCATCTAAAAGCCCTGCTGAACACAGGGGGGCTAAATGAGGAACAGCCCACCTCAGAATAACTTCAGTCACATGTGGTCCTGCTCGACTCGTGTTTTTATGTTACTGAGTTCTGAAGGCAACATAACTGTTAAAACTATGACAACTGTAATGCAGTTCATATTTATGTAAGTGTATGTCACATGCAAGTGTTTCCACTACACACGTTTTTTTTATGACACTGAAAACAAACTAACACAATTATGATTTGGTAAAATTCCAAATGTATAAAGAGCATCACTGACAGTGGCTTTCCAGATACTGACATGAAACACACATCAGCCATGTTGTACAGGAACATGTTGAGATGTCAATAGGGCTAAAACTCACAATTATTTTCATCATCGATTAATGTACTTTTTAATCTTTAGGTTAATATTCAAATAAATAAGAACAGTGAACAGCAGGAACATATTTGAGATGCTGAAAAAAGCTTTTTCTACCAATTTTGCTTAAAATGAGTTTTGACATTTAATCTAATTTCTAAATTCTTTGCCGATTAATTTCTTGTTGCAGCTCAAATGTTTTATTTCATAGACCAATGTTAATTTCCATCAGTCAAGATGTTTCTGACATTCACTATGATCAAATAAACTGGTATATGAATACAAGTAATACAAACTCACCATAAAGGGTCATCAATCAGCTGTAAAAGAAGATCAGTTTCCTCGGTGTCTGTCACAACACTGTGACTTCTGACTTCCTCCAAAACTCCCACTATGTTTTCAGCTCAGCCGAGAAGTCACAGTTTCTTTTTCGGCCTGTAAATAGAGCTCCTTTACCAATTTCCATCCCACATGTTGACGTGTTGACATAACGGAGAGGAGAAGTCTTTGAGATGCAGTTTGTTCTCCTGTGCTCAGCTCATCCCACTTACAACAGCTTAATGCAGAGGATTGCTTTGTGCTCATGGCAGTATACATCTTTTCAGCACAACACCAGTGTGTCTTCAACCTGTACACCTGTTTGTTTCATTGGTTAAACTAAAGAGAGATTCCTGAGGTTCCATGACATCTTACCTCACTTTGTTTGATGCATTTGAAAAACAAGTTAATTCTAATGTGTTAAACTGATGAGGAGGAGGAATAACAATCAATTACAATGATATGTAATGTAATGTAATTATCAACCCCACATTATTGTCTATCAAATATGAGATAGGCTGGCAAAAAATCTATTAATCTGCTGATTAATCACGTAATCTGATAATGTGAGTACTTTAGATGCATTTTTTAAGTCCAAAACCCAAATATATTCAACTAATCGACTAGTCTATGAACTGTTACACTTCTAATGTGGAAAAATATTTATAATAATAATATATTTACGTGGACAAAAATCTGTCCTTTTCTGTTCTGTTCAAAACAGAAACCACAAACAGTTTTTAGTAATTATTCTTTATTTAATACAAGTGTAAATGTATAACATGTTAACTGTAAACTACTTGGATCTGAGGAATCTATTTAATTAAGACTGATTAGCAGACAATGAAATCCTTCAGAGGTGAACAGATGGCCGGATTACAGACTCAAAAGTTAAAAACATGATGTTTCTCTGATTTACCACAGGGGGGGGTCTCTCACACAATTCACACGCCTCTGATCTCAGACTTTAAAGTTTGGTCCTAATAGAGTGAAACTAATGAGCCGTTATACATGCGTCTTGAATATCAGAAATGTACAAACTGCATAGATTTAAATATAAAAATGTGTCCCGTTCCATGTAGTGAGGTTTAAAAGATTTAAATATATTTCTGGTTTTAGGACGTTTAGTGCATCATTGGTTGAGTGTAGGATGTCAAATAAAAATGAAAGGAACTGATAACAAATAATCAATTTCTGTTTCTATTTCTATAAATGACAAATAAATCAAGGCAATCATATAGGAGGCAGTCCGAGCTGCTCTATTTCAAGTTTTGAGAGGTAGTTCAAACTCCTGCTTTGGGAATAGTCGCAGACTGAAATTAGCCCATGGGACCTGTGGGACGTGGCTGGACCTGTTGGGACTGATTGACCCCTCCTTATATCCAGAAGGGCCTGAGGACAGATCCCAGTGCAGCTGAACAGCTGTCCTCATCTGCCCGCAGGAGAACCTGGTGCAGAGCAGAGGTTAGCTTTGACTTCTCTTCTGTTGGACGTCAAGCAGTTCGACAGAGATCCTTCTTATAGAGCTTCTTAACCTCTGTCTGACTTTTTGTGATTAAACTAAAGGATCAGGCATGCATGCTTAAATTAGTCAAGAAAACTGAACAAAAAAACCGGGAAGGACAAACAGAAAGGATACAGAAGCAAAATGAAGACATTGGCAAAAGTGCAAGGGAGGACTGAACAACTTCTAGGATACAGGGTTGATAAAGTGAGTGTCTGATGGAAACACCTCAATTCTTGGGGGCTACACAATTATTTTTACATAAAAGGAAATTGTGTGACACGCAGTAAGACCCATGTTTAATAACACAAAACAAGAGAAAGTAAGATTATTGTTTGCATGCTTAAACTTCTACCTGCATTTGTTTGTGTAAAATGATCTTAACCTTGCTTTGGTCAAATATTTCCCGCTATGCAGATTAGAAAAATGTAGACCTGTTAATTAAATATGAATAATGTCTAAACTTTTCGTTTGTTTTTAAATAAGAAATGCTATCCGAAACTATAATTTGAGTTTAAGTTTTCATTCAGTTCATGTGCTTCTCTTTTAATAACAACAAGGTGCAGAATAGTTTAGTCCATCAAAATCAAACAAGCTTCAGAATCTTTTCTAATATACACATATTTGAGAAATGTGTTTCTGTGGTGGTAACCAGGAGAAAAAACAAAAAAACAACGCTATTCTTAAAACTGCGTCAGACAGTGATTTGATGTCGTCAGTTTAGTCCTCTCAGAGACATTCCTCAGATAAGATAAGAAACCACTCGGAGAAAATAGGAGAGGGGTGGAGAGAGAGGTTAACTGGTATAATTATATAGCTCAAACCCTCTTTCTGTTCGATTGAACTTATCCTTCATTTGTCAAACTAATTTAACACAGCTAAAAAGAAGGTTTTATAATGGGGGAAGGTGTTTTTTTATTAAAATGTGGTGAATCTGTCTTTTGTTTAAGGTTTCAGACACCAGCCGGGAGAAACTCTTGTCAGATGAAAATCCAGACATCAAGACGCCGGCTGCTGCAGGCAGAGGTAAAACCATAACAGTTAAACACTATGTGCATCTCGTATGTCACACATCACGCAATCAAATAAGACTTCAAAACACTCTGCAGACAAAACATCACAGATAAATATACATTTTTAACTTTTAAAAGCAACACAAAACACAAAAAGAACAAAAAAGACATAACTAAGTGCGTGCCCACCCACTACACATGCATGAACATACAGTAATCTGACATTGTGGAGAGATCAGTGCTTTTCAGCTCACATGGATCATCATGCCAGCAGAGTTTTTAAAGGCTTAACACGATGGCAAAGAGAGCAAGAGCATTTTGATATTTTTGTAGCTGTAATCTGTGCTCAGTGGATTGAGATTCCAGGGTTGTGTTGGTCGATCTGTGACGCAGATTGATGCTGTGTGTGTGGAGCTGTTTAATAAACTTGTGCCTTATAGAAACAGCAGCTCTGTAATAGTCAGATTCTTCTCTTCCTATCATTTATATTTTGCTCTTTACTGTTATTGTTTGTGTTTGGGTTCGTATGAGTTTATGGTGAAATCTGCTTGAATCAAAGCGGCTGCCACGAGCTTGGACAGCTGCGCTCAGAAGATCATCTAGCGGTGAATGCTTAATCTTGGTTTTGAGATTAAACCGGTCTGCCTCCATCCTGCCAGCTCAGTTTGCTGCGTGTGGGATATATGCACCTTGGTATTTCTACAGCAGAGGAAATGTTTTGGTACCTGTAGTGACGAAGAAGAGCAGACTCCTGCCTTCTTGATGAGAGAGGGAAGTTCTTTACCAGCTGAAAAAAGCATGGATGAAAGATTATCTTTGTTGATCCGATTTGATTCATAATTGTAGTGCAAGTACAATATCATCTGCATAACTGGGGCCGCTTTTAGTTTTAGTGAAAAGTGGTACACAGTCAGTTCCATACGGACAGTGGCATGGTTTTTGTGCACACATACCTGATTTGGTTGTCTAACATTTTTGCGAAAGAGTAGAGGTCAAGTCAATTTCACAGAGAGGTTTTTAAAATTCCTCTAAAACGAGTTTATGACTACTGGTAACTCCTCAGTGTGGATTGTTGATGGCTAGCTCGACTAAAGAGGGATCATCCAAGCGAACCCCTCAGATTTAACTTTACATACTTCTACATTTCCTTGCTTGGAACAATATGTACAGTCCCTAAAGCACACAAGGACATTTCTTTTAAATGTGTTTTATTTATGTATAAGAGTTAAACAAAAATACACATGGAAACTCAGCAAGATGGCATGACAATACAACCTCAATAAAGCTAAAAACATATTAAAAAAACACGACTCATATTGGAAACACACACAACATGCATCTTTTACAAAAGA